CTCCAGCAAACGGCCAAAAGGGTGACCCGGAGCAGCAACGATAGCCTTCGAAAGACGTCGGCCATGAAAGGCAAGTGGGGAAGTGCAGTAGCTAGATGACGACAGTACACCTCCAGCAAAGAGTGACGAAGAGGGCTGCAAACAGCAGACCGCAGCATGGGACAAACGCCTTGTAACGTTTTTCGTCACGGAATATAGTGGGCGATGGGAGCAAGGGGGGTCGACTGAAGTATTCAAATTTGCCGACTGTTAGACCCCTTCCCGCTTGGCGGCACGCACTGCGAGGGAGAACACTCGTCGACGACATCCATGGGGGCCGGCCGGCCACCAACGGTTACCGTTGGCGTAAGGTTCCTGGAAGCTGAACATTGAAGATCCAAGATGTTCATGCTCTGCCCGGTAGGAACTCCAATGGACCAGCCGACAAAAAATTCACGCCAAGGACGGGTGCCCTCGCCACTCCGATTATCGCGGATCACGGATCCTTGACCTCGGAGGGACCTCAGGAGGTCCCTTGGGGAATGCACCAAATGGCTCTAGCCCGAGGATTCCCCAAGGAAATGTTTTTACTTCTTTTTGTCGTTTTCATCCCCGAGGATAGGTGGAACGAAATTTTCCTTGGGGGATTTACGCACCCGAGGAGTGTCTAACAGGTCCCATTGCACTAGGGGCCAAGATACAGTTTCGAATTGCACCCAAGGAGTGTCTAATGGGCCCCATTGCAATTCGGCCTCCAACAAGCACAGCAGGCAATAGAAGAAGAGATCAGAGCCCAAACGCAAGATGCATGGAAATAAATGAAAGGGGCGTGCCGTGAGGAGAAGGATCCGGCTGCCAGGGAAATAATAGGTTTGTCTTACCGCCAGTTATGGCAGGATGCGAATAACAGATTCTCAGAATTGACTGCCTGCCTAGACATCCGGTGGAAACCATGGAGGACCACAGAAGTGACAGAATCAGTTTGGGAAAGGAGGCCCTTCAACTGTTTCGAGGTCCCCTACCTCCCGACGAACTTCGTGCTTGTCGCAGATAATGCACCGGCCCACCCCCCGGCCCACCCCCCGGCCCAATCTCCCCACTCTGTCCCTTCGCTTCCCCCCTCCCCCCCCACCCTCTCTGGTACCCCGGTCACCCCCCTGCACCCCAAAATTCCCATCATCACGGGTTGATCACAGTCTAATGAAGGCAAGCACAGAAGTCTACGACGATACGACACCGGAAGCTACGTAACAGCAGGGTTGAGAAGAAGGGACTGTGATCACAATATTGTCAACACTGCAACGGGGTTCCGGGAAGGTTTTTGGCTGTAGGTAGCCTGCCTGCGCTATCATAACAGAGCTACGTAACAGCAGGGTTGAGAAGAAGGGACTGCGATCACAGTATTGTCAACAGTGCGACTGCATGGCTTCCGGGGTCCCGGGAAGGTTTTTGGCTCTAGGTAGCCTGCGCTATCATAACAGCGACATCCCGTGCCCCTATCGTTGATGTTCACTGAGGCCTGACCTGCACTATCATAACAGAGCTACGTAACAGCAGGGTTGAGAAGTAGGGACTACGATCACAGTATTGTCAACATTGCGACTGCATGGCTTCCGGGGTTCCGGGAAGGTTTTTGGCTGTAGGTAGCCTGCGCTATCATAACAGCGACATCCCGTGCCCCTATCGTTGATGTTCACTGAGGACTGACCTGCAGGTCCCCGGCGCCGGAATAGTTTGGGTCAGGGTGTAACAGACCCCAGGATCCCAGCATGTGCAGCTCCCCGCTGGAGAACAGCTTGGGCTACGGCGAAACAGACCTCAGGAGTGTAAGGACTATGTAGCTATGGGGCAGTGACGTGGGGACTCTGATCACGATACATATGCAACCGCAACCACAAGGTCATCTGGGGCTCGTGAGAGAGGTCTCTGCATTGTCTTGTTTTGCATAGTTAGAGACCTGCTAAATCAAGCAGCATAACATTGTAAACATAGGCCCCTTGTCTTTGATGTTAAGGGACGTTGGACCCGTTTTCCAGCAGGTGCAGCTCCCCACCAATGGAATGGAGCCACTCACAAACAGGGTGCGTGGACGGGGTGTCTTCTCTTATCGGCACCTCCCCCACGCCCGTCCGCGATGTTTCACACACACACACAAAAAAAAAAAAAAAAAAAAAAAAATAGAGACTCCATCTATTGGTGGGGTGATGCTCCCAACCAATACCCACCACAGGTTCACTGTCGTAGTATTCGATTTCATCACACTTGGATGAATTTCGTAGCGGATTTGATCACTTTTTTCTTACTTTTTTTTTTCCGATTTGATCACTCTTGGAGAACTTTCAGAGTAGATTCTATACTTGGGCTTGGAATAACTTTTCATATTCAATTTGATCAGACTTGGATCATGTTCGATGTAACCGGTAACACCAGTCTTTTTTTTTCCTTTCTTTCTTTTCCTTTGTAACACCAGGCATTGTGCCCCAGTACTCTTCCTGTTTTTTTTTTTTTTTTGAATCTTCGGTGGAGGGTGCCACTTGAGGTAGTGATAAGAGCATCTACCTCAAGCGGACTTATCTATGAAGGCTCGAACTATTGGAGCCTCCCCAAGCATGCTACCTTCTTCCCCCGAATACAATGTACGGTCATTATAGCTGTATCTGGACTGAAAGATGCCTCAAATACAGCTATAATGACCGTACGTTGTATTCGGGGGAAGAAGGTAGGCCCGTTGGTACAGCTATCTCGTCTGGAAGTGTCTTTTTTTAATTCCTCTACAGGACGGGAAAAAAAACAAACGAAATAGATGGTGAAATTATGGCCATCGATTTGGTGAAAGGATCCAGGGCTGGATGCAAGCTTAGGACATACATAGTCGATTTGATGAACATAGGGTGTCGCTCCGCTACTCTCGACATGTGCGAAACGAGAGTGAATCTTCTGCTAGAACATGGAAAGATACACCGACACCGATACACGATTTTTGTCTTTTTTGCATGTCGAGAGTAGAGGAGGGAGGCCCATATACACGGTGCAAACACACCGTGTGTAAGGAAGATCCATCGGTTGATTGTGTTTGCTAGTGTTCTGTTTTCTTTTTCGTTTTTGTTTTCCCCTCTGCCATGCGTGTCATCCCTGCCCAAGGAGCATGCATTAATTTTCTTTTTCGACTGTTGAATTGATGTTTTGCTCCTTGCATCATTTGATCTCAGTACCGTCTTCCCCCGAATAGACGCCCCGTCATTATATCTGTATTGGGCCAGGTTTTCAGTCAATATGCAGCGATCATGACCGGTCGTTCTATTCGGATGAAGACGGTAGGCCAAAGTTAGCGTTGATAACAGTCGTAGGTAATCCTTTCCTAAAACTGCATATTCCAATTTGATGGCTCTGTCATGTCGTCAAGCTTTCCTATTTGGTGCTCATTTGATCAGATCCTTACCCAACATGGCCATCGAGATATAGTGGTTAATCGACGTGTGCGAAAAGCCGAGCTGTAGTCAGATCGTACGAGGCGGGGCTTGCCGAAGCGCGTGGGGGAGGGGGG